TTAAAGCTGTCTTCCTTTCAGCAATATTTGGCTATATGGCAGTAGGAGCCAGCACAAAAGATTTGGCCAGGCTGGGAGAAAGAAGGAGGACAGGGAAGGGAGAGTTGAATCACTTTATACATACAATAAATCTGAAAGAATCCTGGCCCTCAGCTAAAACTCTGCATGTTGAAAAGGATGCATGCATGTATGTGCCTGGCATGACGTTAGTTTTATCAGTCATCTGTATTAGAGATTGGCTCCAACAGAAACTTTTGGACCCAGATGTGAACACTCCGAGGAAGCAGAATACCCAGAACTGAACTTTTGACTCAGGCTGGCATAAAGACAAACAGCTTTTTTAACCCAGGTTTTTGGTTCATTGACTCCATTTGGTTTTAGTACAAGAATTTAGCATGTCATATGAAGCAAACACATAGAAACTTGTTTTGCTGGAATAAGATAGAAATTATCACTGTTCATTTACTGTAGTGCATTGCTTCTTACCTATGCTTTCAACAGAAAATCTTGGTTCAAATGTTTTGAAGCATTTCTTCAAAAAAGCAAAAGGCTTTCCAACTTTACTGTTGGTGCCCAGTAGTGATTAAAAAAAACATATAGGAGCCTTAATTTGTAAAGACTGAATCCTTAATATTGTATAACAATTTTTCCCTATAAGAGGGCCAAAACCAAAGGCAACCAAAATTACTAGATACTTTGTTAAATCCTCGTTAAGGGGTTTAACGAAAATGTGACCGGGACCCAGCTGCATTTATCTACATACTTTTCTTACTACTTTAATCAAGAAATGCTATCTAGTCTTCAGCATCAGGTACTGTCCCGTTTCAGTTCAAAAGCAGAACACAAGTTCTAAAAAAAACAAAAAAATAATCAATGTTCAAGTCCACATCATGATTTTCTGTGCCTGGTATATGACTTTTAAGGCCTTATTTTGGTAATCCTTGTTATTTAACCTTTGGAAGATTATTCAGACCTCAGTGAGGTGACCCGTCCTCCTTCTCTCAGCCCTGTGAAAGTTGTTTGGGTTGCATTTGTGTGGAGTTGGGGAAAAGAGAGGAATGAAAGATATTATTTTCACCTTCCTTTACCTATAGCAAAATTAAATGTAATAAATGTAAGACTTCAGCTGTTCTATAGTTGATAGTCACTTTACATAGTTAGATAGGCAGACCAATAGATAGCATATTTAAGCTTTTATCTACACTTCACTACTGTCTGTATTTTACTGAGATGGTAAATAAGTAACAGGAAGAAAACTGGTAATAACATTTTAAATAATTCCTTCCTTTTCATTAAATTCTCCGTACTTGCTATGAAGGGAGAGGAGACACTTGTGACCACAGTGACAGCAGTGTAGTGGCCTGGGATGTCGAACTGGAAGGCGCAGTTAGGACACTCTTGTGATAAAGTTCAGCCACTCTAGTTTGGCCTTTCCATTTTTTAAGCTCATTCAGCACCAGCTACCAGGAAATGAGGTAACAAACATCAGGAGGGGGATGTGTGAGATGTGTACAAGTAGAGATGTACAGCAAATTACAGACCTCATCTGTAGTTCCTGGAGAAAACTGGGCACATCCAGGGTGCACTTCATCGCATCCTATCACAAATATTTAAAACTGGTCAGGTAAGTCATGCTCAGGACATGCCTGTTCTCTCCATCAACCATAAAGAGAACATAATATGAGTAGTTCAGATATGGATATGGTATTCCAAGCTGTAAATACCTAAAATTAGATGAGATGGATGTCACCTCCAGCCTGTTACTGCCTGGTTGATCATGATAACATATGTAAATAATCTAGCATCCAGCTAATGAATGTTTCGATTCCTCAAGCACATGCTCTGACCCTAGATGAAGAGACCTTTGGGAGATGTCTTTGGCTTACAAGCTCAGCTGGTATTTCAAGTAGGGAAACATTAAATTAGAAGTATTTCTAGGAGAGTCTGCTGCTGACCAAAGGCATCGCAGGATTGAGAGAAAAGAGCAAAGTTTGCAGCCTTCATGGGACAGCCTCAACAGAAAGGCAAATGGGATTTGACGGTTAAAAGCATCTTCTGGCTAGGGAAATCAGCTGAGATTTTAGGGAAGAGTTGAGTTGAGAGTAACACCCACTCCAGCAGTGGACAAGGAGAATTAAACAATAACTAAAGATACTGTCAGGTTCTTCTCTTTGTATTGGAGGGGGAGCAAAAAGGGCACAAACAGAGAGTTACAACTTTGCCAGGAACTTCTCATCATACTAATTACAAAAAGATTCAATGTTTGTCAGCTATGGCACAGTAAACACCGCTAACGTCCTTTATTATCTCAGCAGTCTCCTACTGACTTCTGTCTCCTTGTGAGCACAGCAAACACATTACTTTGCTGTTTCTGGTTGGGCCCCTGCCATGCCAAGGCTTCTGTTATGTGCTGGATTTGAAACCGTTGATGCTTCCATGGAATAATTTGGGACTCTACACATTGAGAAAGTAAAATCTATGTACAACCATTTAAAAAGGCTATGGTCGGCAGATGTAAGCTAATGGTAGCCTGAAACCTTCAATACGTGTTTACTGTGGTTCCTGTTACAGTAGGACCAGACTCCCAACACCATTAAATTAAATCATACCATGATGAAGAGCAAATAACAAATATAACTGTGAAAATATGCACACTTTTGGAATATAACATTTGAATACGATGCTGCACTGAAAGCCACAAGCATCACTTAAAGTCTATCATATTGCCAGCAAGTGAGAAGTTACGGCTTTTGCAATGAACAAACCCCAAGGGGTTGGTTATGAACTGCTGGGGTTGCAGCAGGCGGGCAGTGTTTTTCCCACGGCATTGGTATTTCCAGCCAGCAAACACCCTGTCAAGGTGGTGGTAAGTTGCTCAAGGCACAATGTCTAATCATGCCACCTCACATGGTAGGAACTCTGATCTGACTGTCCATCATAGTAAGGCTGCAGCTTACACAGTAATCTATACACAGCTTACAGCAGGATAGCTTGCACATGCTCCTCTAGAAACAGAAGGCACGCACATGTCTCTGTTTACTCTGAGGGGCAGTTCCTTACAATACCAAGAATAAAAAATTTAACAATGAACAAAAAGACGGAGTGTTCACACTGAACTTTTCACAATATTTCAGTGAAGCATTAGAGCAGCTTTTAGTTCTGCTGGCAACGGCTGAATCCTCTGAACAGCAGCCTTTGGAGCTGCTGCTGACAGAACGCATGTTTGGTAACAGATTAGTTGGTAGACTGCTAACTTAATTAACTGCAGACGTGGGGATTTGCGTTAGAGAAGGTTCTAAGTTCAGGAGCAGAAATTTTCAGGGTATGCTTGAAATAATGTGGGCAGAGGTAGCAGGGATTTTCTGAGTGAGTTATGCTCAGATTCTTCCCTTAACTTTTCCAGGGGAATCACTTGCCAGGAGAAGAGCAATGCCCGTATCCATGCTCTGCACGACCCAGGACTATCAAGTTCCCGTTGTACAACGCACAGCTGTCAAATACCCCCCTCGCTGCTAACTCACTTCCCCAGGAATCCAGACTGGCAGGAGGTAACAACACCCTGGAAACCCTTAGGGAAAAAAGCGCAGTGCAAGCGAAAATGGTTTCTCTCCCTTTTAAAGGTCTATGCCCATCTTGAAGATCAAGCTAAAATCCGCTGTAGGTGCCAGCCTCGCACCGGGTTACCGTACAGGGCCCCAGCGGGAGCTGCAGATCACGGCGGACCATTCACCCCTGCAGCCTGAGATGAGGCCAAGCAACCACTGCAGCAAACTCCAGCCACCACTGCAGCAAGCAGCACAAGTGGGCACTCCCATCATTCACCACTGGATACAAACTGGGAAGAAAGCATGCACTACCACCAAGCAAATCAAGACAGAAGTTTTCAAAAGCAAACCCTTTAGGAAAGACCTCTTTGCTTAAAAAACACAGAACAAAAAGCTGAAGCCATGGCAGAGGTTAGATTCTGCATCTTAGTGATACAGTAAACAAATCTTTAAGAGAAAATAAGTGTCTTAATATGTTCAGAAAGAAAATTATTTTGGAGAAGGAAAATGGCAATTGTTTTCTGAGAAAATTTCTAAGTTGCTTTGAAAAAATAAGAGCTATTACATGTGATGATAATGTTAACAGAAAAACAGAACAACATCAAAGACAGATTTAGCACATTTACTTTCCTTTCACATAAATGCACACACATACCCCCATACACACTCTCAGTTAATGACTAGTGTTTCCTAAAACTGATTTCAGTAAGTCTCTAAAATCTCTTCCTTCCTCAAAACCTTGAATCTCAAACCCAGTCCCAATTCTAGCAATGAACTCTAGAGGGTTGTGCCAAGCACCTCTGCAGAAACAGCTGCAGCTGTGTAAGATATTACTACGGCTCAGCTGTTCCGTGCCGCTTCTTGCCGCACCCACGTGTACATCGATCATATATAGGTCATTTGAGAGCTCCTCCTGTGGTTCAGCGCACAGTCAGCTGGGGCAGCTTCATCTGTTTCTGCAGTGGTTGTCTGACTACGATCCCAGTGAACAGCCCCTGAACCCTCTCACGCAGCTCCAGGTCACCCTGGTGGGTAACAACCGAGCTTCTGCATCACACGTTCTGGCTCTCTGCTTCAGGGCTTTTTTCCCCCCCAAGGACACAATGTTATTTAGAGGCTTCTCTGAGAGCGCAGAAATTCAAGCAGTTTTCTATATTGCTTGCTCACAACCCTGATTCAGATGTAAATAGATGCACAGCTGAAAGTCCATGCATACCATTTTTTAAGCTGTGCTAAAGCTAGAGGGAGGTAGAGACGGACATGAGCTGATGTTAAAAATCCCACAGTACTGCACTGTTATCCAGATATTTTTCTATGGCAGAAAATAGTCAGTTCTGTGGGAAATTTTGGAAGAGATATGTTAACCCTAGTGACTCCAACAAAATGAACTTTTCAAGTGTCTAAAATTGAAAACATTTTCCAGTTGCAAATAGTGTTGCAGAGACGTGTGCTTACCTGCTAATGGGAGAAGAAAACAGGACTGAATAGCAAGTAGGGAAGACTCTGCAGCAGGTTTCCAAGAGTCACATGAAAATTCTTGACAGGCGATACAACTTGGTTGAAAAAAAGTCAGCCCCTTGCAAAAAAGGCAGCTCTGCAACAGAAGATGCACAAAAAGTAGTATTGCACATATTGCTAGTGTAGGAATTGCTTCTCAAGAGCACACTTATTAGTAAGCCCATGCGTGACACACACAGAAGTGAAACAAGTGCTGCTCCATCCCATCACTGATAGAAATAAATATTTCTCCTTGCACTTTCCCTTTTCTGTTTGGTTTTCTCTGGTGGAAGCGACTCCTCGACACCAACGCTAAGAGCCAGACCTGTCACCACAGAGGCCACGCGAGGCTCCGCGAGCACGCGGAGGGCGAGCAGTTGTGTGCGAGCACTGCAGAGGTGACCGAAAGAGGCTTGCGATAGCTGCGTGATCTGCAGGGCTCACCTTTGGAGGTCAGCTCTTCCGTAAGGCCCAGAAAAGTCCTACACGCATCATTCAGAAGTACTGGAAATTCTTTCTTTAGGGCTTCAACTGATGGACGTCATATCAGTGCCTGTCCTCAGCTGGTCTCGAAGTGCCTCTCTCAGACGACTATGAACACAAGGAACAACCCCAGAGCGGACATTTTGGTGCAGCACAGAATTTATAATTATGCGACTTACAATACAAACATCTTCATAATTAAAAAAAATTTTTTTTGTCTTTTAAATCACCGGTCAATAAATATAGAACACTATTAGGAAAAAATTAAAAAGAAATATATACACACAGACACACAGCAGTATTCACACACATCTGCACCCACATTCTGAGTACAGCTCTTCACGCCTTGCACTTTGCATAGTCACTAACACCAGCTCTAACACACTGATAAGTTTAACTAGGAGTATAGAGATCTCTTTTTTGGCTCAGCTTAACCTGGGCACAAACTGCTCTTGCTTTTGTTTTGTGGCATTTCATACCCACTTTGGAAGGATGTAAATAGCTGCATGTGTTTAAAAATGTGTATTTTAAGGTTAATCTTTCCTGCATTCGAGAGAACTAAGCAATCCCCTCATACTCCCACCTTTTGTCTGCTCTATGGGGGTGAGCTTCATTCTGTTATCACTTCTTTTCGTTAAAATCAGAGGTGTTAGTTTAAGTAACAGTGCTGTGCGAAGTCAGTGCATTTTGACTGCAGTGCACTGAGGAGCACACACATAAGCAGCTCAGAAGAGAGCCTGCAGAATGAGAGAAATCGTCTGCAGCTTGGCAGCTCAGAGTCAGGAACCGATATTTTGAGTACCTGGGGGCAAGGCAGGGAAAGCAACCATTCCAGCGACAGGCGTGCATCTGGGAGACGCCACACAAACAAATCTGAAGTGAGGGATGTACAGCAAACAACCAAGATCTGAGCATAATGCACTGGATACAAACATGCCACCCCAACAACCACCCCCATGGACACAGCTAGACACTGTACTACAATACGAAAAACTGCTCCAAGCAACGCAAGCTGTAACAGAGTAGATCTTCCTTGATATGGCTGGGGTTTTTTTAGGAGCGACTGCCAAAACCGCCAGAGTGGTCAGGACACTGAGGGCTTCCAAAAGCTACGACCGACCGATCCCAGCTGGAAGCGGACACTATCAAAGTACGTATCTAAAATAACAGCCCTTGTCACAAATTTTGTCTTTTTTCCCCTCCCCGTCTAAAAGACAAATTGAAGAAGATTCTTAATCTTCCAATTTAAAATATATGAGAAATCCCACTGATTTTAGACAGGTATTATGGACAGGAAGTGTAATAACAGCTATTTGGTTCTCAAAAGATTAGATGCTTGTGGGTATGAAAACAGTGTTTTGCCTGGAGATCCTGCTTGACATTCCCATGCTAGCAGATTAAAAAAAAAAAACACCTCCATTTTGCCTACAACCTGTGATAATTTGATTAGCCAGGATAACGAACCAACATCACAGTGCTATTCCTCGCGATTTGAGGGGGTCACTTCAGAATAAAACTCCACCTTTTTCATTTAAATGGACCTAACTTTGATGATCAAAGCTCAGCTATTCCACTAATGCATATATGAAGTACAAATCATTATTTTTTTAAACCTGTGAATTAGATTTATCTTGCTTTCATCTAATATCCTGTGGATTTTTTTAACTATTTATAATTTCAGGGGAAAGGGAAAAAGAGAATGCCTGAAAAAAAACAACCCACGATGCTGTTGTACAGAAGTTCCAGGAGGCTGTAATTAATGACATCCCTCGTACCAGCTGAGCAATCAGGATGTTATTTTGACAGGTAAAGCAAATCAAGAATTCAGATAGCCTTCTGTTATCAAGTATTGACAGCATGCCTGAAACCAGGCACTGCCCAGAGGCAGAATTTCAGAACTGCTTCCCAGTTCTCTCCGGTACAACACTCCTTAGCCATCCCTCCACCTCACCACCGGGAGAGCAACAACACAAGTCTGAGAGGAACCACAGTGAACGACCCAAAGTACTGCTGCAGGCACAGGCATCGTGGCGTAGCTTGGGAGATCTCCTGACCAGCGTGGAAAGAAACGGGACTCCAGAGGCTGCTGCTCCTCCAGGCTGCCACAAATGCAGATTCAGCACAAACCGCCCTGGGACACAGGACAGTGTAATTTCCAGGTATAGTCTGTGCTCGAGGCAGAGGAGAAAAAGGTGCAGCACGGCTGGGGATGCCGTTCGAAAGAACGGCTGCCGTGGAATTTGCTCAGATTCAAAATGCTGCTTCTGGCAGGGAGGCTAGCTGTCCAAATACTAGTGAGTATTCAAAAATATGGGGTAAAACACAGGATTGTGCATCACAGGTGCATTATATAATACATAATTATAACTGCCCTCCTTTTCTAAACAATTGTGCTTTAAAATTAATTTATTTCTGAGTGCAGTTTAAATCCATTTTTCATACAGCATGAACTGGCTCAGCAAAGCGACCCTCAGTTCCTTAGGACCAACGAGAGCTGCTGTAAATCAGCATTTCAGTGGAGCCGGCACAGCTGCCCGCTCACACCTACTGCTCAGCCAGCTACGGCCAGAGAAATCCGTCACATGGGCTCCAATTTGGGGTATCACTGTGGATGCCTTTCAGTTCAGCCGTGAGTGGCCGGCAAATCAGGCCTATCGCTTCAGTGACTGCAGCCTACGAAGGCGCCAGCCAAGAACCAACACAGTCTGGAAATGGTGATTGCAATTCAACCGCAGCCAGCCTGGCAGGCTGACGTGGCCAAGATCTGTCGTGTGAAAACCCACAGCAGCACCATTACAGACCTTCTCCTGTTGGGAGACTGTAATTTGGGGCTGCCACGACGAGAAGAACACGGATGGCTGGAAACTGCACAGGCTTGGACACTACTTCCAGAGTTTTGCACGCCCAGCTCAATCAACCAGCAGTGTGCAAAAGAGTGCATGGGAGAATGAGGTGAAAAGACATTGATCCAAACCACACCATCTCCACTCCTGGCTTTATTCCTCAAGTTACATACGTGCAGATTTTCCTTTGGGCTGGCTAAGTCTTCTTTCAGTCTATGAAGCAAGTGGTCTTTTGTGCTCTTGGCCGTGCCCTCCCTGGCCATTTAACAAGCCAGTCTACAACTGGTGTCAACAAGCAAAACCAAGAGTTCAGCCTACGCTACAGCTGGCTTCCCCAGCACCTTGGCTCACTCTTCTTTCAGACTGTGAAAGATTCACAGGTATAAAATATTTTTTATTTCAGAGATAAAAGGATGGTGGTATATATTCTGGGCTTTACCTCCCTGATCTTTCTCCTTTAAAAAATATTTAATGTTAATGGAATTAAAACTCTTCCTATAAATTCAAACTAAAGGATGAATTCTGATGAAATCTGGCTACAGAAATGGACAGGAATGTCCCTGTTGACCTTCCCTGGGGCAACATTTTTCCTTGGACAAATAATATGATTGTTTCTAATGCTGACATCTCATAGCTGAATTTTTTTGCTGACAGTCTGTTTCTGTTGCTTGTATTGCTGAGTTTCTTTTCTGCTGCAATAGTGACGCTTCATCTCCATTTATAACTCTGAGGACATCAAAGTATGAAGATAGCAACCCAGGTGATAATTGCTCCTAAAAATCCTTGGTATTACTCTTCTAAGTGGGATGAAAAAGTCATAGAAAGCTCTGCATTAAAATGTGTCAAATTTTACTCCATGGAGACAAAGAAAAAGCTGAATCTACCAAAAACAAAAATGAAATTTTAAGGGGCTCATTAGACGATCAACTGAGTCTAAAAGCACCAAAAGATCTCCCCTCTTCTCTCAGATTATGACTTTCTTCACACTCAAAACTCCTACTTAAAACCTCTCTCCACACTCAAAACTCCAATAATCCATATTTAAAACCCCTCTCATTCTTCATTTCCCGTAGACTAAATCTTAAAAGTACGGACTAATTGATGGCATGGACAAGTGCACACAGACTACCACAAGCCTGCTTGCACAGATGTAGCTGGTGATGCTCCAGTTCAGAGAGCACCTTGTGAACCAGATTTCGCAGCATCCTGAGTTTAATTCGCATTCAGCTAGGGAAAAACATCTCACAAGCCAAGCTTGCAAATGCAACTGCGTGACTGCCAGTGTTTTCAAGCTGCAAGCAAGCTGTGAATTTAAACGTGGAGGTAGAACAGTAATACATTTTTTCAAGGGGTGACTACCACTTTACAAAACAGACAAAAAAAATCCCTTTAAATCTTTCTGCACTGCCCTGGCTCTGTTTTAATGAAAATTATAGGAAAAAAATATTCAACA